ATGTATTTATTTAAGTAATCTCTACACTCAACATGGAGCTTGAACTCATGACCGTGAGATCAAGAGTTGCTGCTTTTCCGGCTGAGTCAGCCAGACGCCCCCTTTATAAACAAGTTTTTAAATTATGCTTTGACAAGGGAAGGATTGGTCTTTGACCTTGTCTTTGCTCTGCATTCCTTCCCAAGGTCGGTTCTTCACTGACGTATTCCCGACTTTCACCACTCCGACCACTCCCAAATCTTAACTATCTAACCACAACCAGGCTAGGTCTGCTTAAATGTCCCACCATCACGCCAAACTCACCACATCCCAAATGAATTCATTTTCTTCTTTAAGCCAACCTCTCAACCCCAATTCCCAACGCACAGGCTGAAACCAGAGTTATTTTCAACTCTTGGGGAATGCTTCTCGGACTGATTCCTTGGATCCACAAGGAAGGATTTCCTCTGAACACTCCCAACATCTCGCCGTAACTCATCCCCTGGCTGAAGTTCAGGGACAGAGTGCCAGGTTAAGTGTAGCTTGGCCCTTTCTACCCTTCCTTATTTTGGGAGCCAGCTGCCCACAGGTTCTGCTGCTCTGTGTTGGAAGTTTTACAGGAATAGGCTCTGCCGTTTGGCAGGGGGGAAGAGATGTTTTAGTGAGGAATGTGGGGAGTGAAATACCACATACAAGTTGAGGCTATGATGGGACCAGTACTGGAGGAGTTTCACACACTTTTCAAGCTGGCCACATGGAGATGCTGGCTACTTTGTTCACGGGCAAGAGTTTTTATAACTGATTTTATGTACAGGCAGAGATGAATGAGTACCTTAGCCAGTCACATGGCTCAGCAAAGGCACTGTCCTTACACAAGCACTATGGTTTAATTTTTTTTTTTAAGATTTTATTTATTTGACAGAGATCACAAATAGGCAGAGAGGCAGGCAGAGAGAGAGGAAGGGAATGCAGGCTCTCTGCCGAGCAGAGAGCCCAACACGGGGCTCTATCCCAGGACCCTGGGATCATGATCCGAGCCGAAGGCAGGGGCTTTAACCCACTGAGCCACCCAGGTACCCCAAGCACTATGGTTTAAGCCTTACCACAGAACCACTGCCTCCCTTGTGGGGCATCTGCAAAGCCTAAGCTGCAGAGAAGATCTTGGTGAGCAGGCGGTGCTGAGGCACACATGTGACTACAGGGAAGTCTTTCCCTATACACATCTTTTAGATATTGGGGCAAAACAAGTACTTGGTCCTTTACTATGTTTTTTAGGTAGTTCAATAGGCCAGTGGCTTTAAACTACAGTTAAAGTCCACACATGCTAAGGAACACAAGTGTGTAAGCTCCAAACTTTGTTAGTCCCAGCCCAGCAGACAGCACGAAAAGGCTGTCCCAAATTCCATCCCTTATGTTCTGAGCTAGACTCAAGGCCAAAGGCCAAAGCCAGAAGAATTCATGTGTTGCTTTTTTTTTTTTCCTCCTCCTTCGTTTAAGGATCAATCCCCACTTGCTGGTCTGTCAATAACTCTGGCTAGGGTTTTACAGTTCTGAGATCTGCAATGCAGGTTCAATCTTTAAAAGATGGTAGGTTTTATTTATAACAAAAACAATGCCCTTATTACAAATAAAATATGTCATCCTCTCAGACTGAAGTAGAAAAGCCACTCGATGAAATTACCACAGCCACAGAGGTTGACAAGGAGATGAGAAAAGCCTGTGCCTGGCATACTGTCTTAAGGAACCACCTATGTTCAGGAAGTTCAGGGAGAAATGGATAGCTTTAGAAACTTGCTCTGTCAGATTAGAAGCAGTACAAGAATGAAAACAAAGGAAAAGAGATTTTTTTTAAAAAGACTTTATTTATTTATTTGACAGAGGGAGAAAGAGATCACAAGCAGGCAGAGAGGCAGACAGAGAGAGAGGGGGAAATGGGCTCCCTGCCAAGCAGAGAGCCCGATGCAGGGCTCGATCCCAGGACCCTGAGATTATGACCTGAGCCAAAGGCAGAGGCTTAACCCACTGAGCCACCCAGGCACCCCAAGAAATTTTTTTTTTTTAAGAGACATTTTCTTAAAAGAAAATTGACATCTGGGTGCCTCAGTCAGTTAAGCATCTGCCACTGGCTCAGGTCATGACCCCAGGGTCCTGGGACCAAGCCCCAAATCGGGCTCCCTGCTCAGGGGGGAATCTGCTTCTTCCTCTGCTGCTCCCTGTGCTTGTGCTCTCTGTCAAATAAATAAAATCCTCCCCCCCAAAAAAGAAAGAAAGAAAGAAAAAAGAAAGTAGATGTCTTGGAAAACAACTGAGAGACTAATCTCCACAGCATAGCCCTGGAAGTTCATTCCTTCCCCATTTTCTGTAGCCTAGCAAAGAGCTGGCTCCATGGTCTTCCTTCTCTCCAACAATAAAAAAGTCAAAAATTCAATGAGCCTTCTGGAAAGGAGCAGGGGAACACAGGGGAAAAAAATGCCAAAAGAGAAGTGTCTGAAGAAATGTTACTCCCCATGTAGCACATCCAGAAGCTGAAGACAGTATCTTGAGGAATGGCAGAGGTCTCCATTCTCACTGGGTCCCTGAGGCAACAAACTTTAGAAGAAACAGCAGCTTCAGTTAAAAAACAAAAAACAAAAAACGAAAAAAAAACCCCAGCAAACCACACAACCTGCCAGAGGGATTCTGAACTGGAATTCATGGCGTAAAGGATCACCCTCCTGCCCTCCACATACAGGAGCCAAGCATCCTGGGCCTGACCAACTGCACAGCAAAACGTAGTGGCCAAACGAGGCCTGCTCACGGTGGGGCTGGGTAAGCTAGGTCCTAGGATCCCACCCTCAAGGCAGCCTGGGGATGCAAACACAGGCCCCAAAAGAGAAACAGTACTGAGAAATTTGAATATGCTGGATAAAAAAGAAAGGCATCTCAAAAGATGGGGTTTGAGGCTGCCACTAGTGTAAATTAACACTGCAGGAAGGTGGCATCATCTTAACTATCACTAGCTAAAGACAAGATTAGACACAGGTAGATGCCCCTCAGGATATAATGAACACAGGTCCTCATCAACCTCATCATGGGTGATCCTCCCAACTGAGTTCAGACTCACTAGTTAAGTGAGTAACTGGTATAGAATTACTTGAGTCCCAGTGACACTGAATCAAGACCTTTTCCGCCTATTCACCTTCCCTTATGTACCACTGAGTAGCAGAGTCTTTTGACAGGTTTCTAGGGACAAAATCTGCTACAAGCTAGAGGCGGCCTGCTTTCTAAATTCAGTGAATTTGGGGCAATACCGTGATCATTCTGTATGGCCTGTTAATGACTTAGATTCTTTTTGTTGTTGCTGTTGCTCTAAAGCTTTTAAAAGACCTGGCATTGAACTCTGGCAGCACAAAATTATAAGGCAGGCGAATCTGGTTCTCACACTGTTATGTTCTCCAACAGCTCCATGAGTATCAGATAAGCTGATATCCGTCTCCACCTGCCTGCCATTTGTCTATTTCTCCTGGTTCTAAGCCCAAGTTCAGAAAAAGGGTGTTACTTATTGGGTCTCCTCCTAAAATCACATTTGCCCTTACTTTCATTAAGTAGGCTTGCTGCTGAAGATAGTCAAAGCAACTATAAAATATGGAACCACAGCCTTCTCCAGTGTGTGTGTGTGTGTATAAGACAGGTGAACTAATGACCATGAATCAGCAAAGTCCCTATTTCAAAGGTATATTAATGAAGATGAAGGTAGAAAACAGGGGTGCCTGGCTGGCTGAGCCAGTGGAATGTGCCGCTTTTGGTCTCACGGTTGTAAGCTAGAGCCCCATTCTGGGTGTAGAAATTAAAAATTAAACCTTTAAAAAAAAAAAAAAGGAAACAAAATTGGACCTGATGCATTTGGAAAATAAGACTAAATCCTGATGTCTGGACAGTAGCCCATGTTTACATTTACTCTCATCCTGTGAAGGCAGAAATGGACCTGTGCCTTCACCAGCCAGGCAGGACTGAACTTTCCCAAAGACACTTGGTGGGCACAAGCTGCCCAAAACACCGACCTGCCTTCCAACATTTCAGGAGTGCGACACCTGTATATTTGGCACCAGAGTCAGTTAAGAAAATATCTATATATCTATATCTATATCTATACACACACACTGATGACAGCTATGACTTATTCTCTCACTCTTCTCAAATTCAGTGACTCCTCCCAAGAAAAAATTCTGCCATCCTTCTTCAACCTGCCACACGGTCCCCCGTCCATACTCCGACTACACACCAAGAATACCCACAGTTCCCAACTCACCCTGCACTGCTTCAATAGACTCCTGGGTAACCCACCGCACCCCAAATTCCTTAGCGACAAGATCAAGGCCCTTACGACTAGCTCCCCGATCACTGACTAGCTCCCCATCACTGCCTACTGACACCTAGACCGCAGCCCGGAACCCTGGGTCACCCCCACGTTAGCTGCGCTCCCTCGTGTCTCCGCGTCGCTTGCAGCTCGAGACTTTCAAAGGCGGCCTCGGCCCTCGCAATCAGCGCACAGCTTCTTCGTCCTGCACGTACCTCCGGCAAGTACTGGCCACCAACCTCGTGCCAGGCACTAGCCTAGAAAGAAAAGAGAGCGCGAATCGGGCAAGGAAGGTCCGTCCCACCTCAGACCGCCACCTCCCCCTCCCCACCCCTGCGCAGGGCCGCCCAGGAACGCCGGCCTCCCTGCCGCCTGAGAGCGCCCGAGCGCCACCTCGAAGAGGCCGCTCCCGCCCGAGACGGCTCTGTCCTCTCGTGAGGCCCGGGACTAGCCCATGGGGAGAGACAAGGGCCACCAGCGTGGCCGGACCTCGGGCTGCAGGCCGCCTCGCCTCAGCCCGGCCGCTGCCACTCACTGCGCCGTCCCCTCGCGGACCTCACACACCCTGCGTCCGCGACCGGCTGGGTCCGCGGCTTCCCGGCGAGGACCCCCAGCAGGGCTGCCCGGCCGAACTCCCGAAGGACCCCGCGGGGGCCGCGCAGGCTAGCTATCGCAGTGCCTGGTGGCCGGGCTCCGCGCTGGAGGACCAGGTGACTCCAGACCTGAATTCCGGCTGGGCTGGGGCCCCAAGAACCCTGGATCTGGGGTGCGCTTAGGTCCTGCTTCGAAGGCCAGGAGTCGCGCGGCTGTGGGCCCGGAGAAATGAGGGCCAGCGAGGAGAGGGGTTGGTGTCAAGAAATGGGGCTGAAAGCCTGGTGGTTGGGGAGCTGGGCCTCAGGTGTCGGGGTGAGGGTAGGGGATGGGGAGACGAGACAGAGTTGAGGGGTTGCAGGCCCCCGCGGCGCCTGGGAGGAGGAGGGCTCGGTCACTGCCCTCCTGGAAGCAGAGGAATGGGCACCTCAGGCATGGAGGCGAATGCCCAGGCAACTTCAGTAATTTGTGATTCTCTGATAGAGGAAATTTAAAGTTGAGCGATTTTCTTGACCTGTCAGCATTTGTTTTTGTTTGTTTGTTTTGTTTTGTTTTGTTTTGTTTTAAAATTTTATTTATTTATTTGACAGAGATCACAAGCAGGCAGAGAGGCAGGCAGAGAGAGAGGGAGAAGCAGGCTCCCCGCGGAGCAGAAAGCACGATGCGAGGCTCGGTCCCAGGACCCTGGGATTATGACCTGAGCCGAAGGCAGAGGCTTAACCCATTGAGCCACCCAGGCGCCCACAGCATTTGTTTTAAAGACTGTCTTTACTTAGCTGGCATTAGGAAAGGAACAACATCCTTTCCTGGAGAGCCCCTGGCAGCTTGGCCTTGCAGTAGCTGAAGGAGGTTCGTTTGGTCGTTCATTCATTCATTCATTCATTCAACAAATACTGGTGAGAGGCAGCTATGTACTAGGCACTTGGCATAGGTACTGGGAATAATATGATGAGCAAAACAGACCCCTGCTTTAATAGACCTGACCTAATGGGTGGAGACATAACTGAAGAAAATGTCCAAAAAGCTATATAATAGTGGAAGTAAGCTAAGATCTAGTGGGTAAATAGGAGGTTACCAGAGGAGACACATTCTGGACTGTGGAAACATCTCAGGCAAAGGGCTAAGGAGTGCAGTGATATAATTAGATTTGCATTTTTCCTTCATTGGCTGCTTAGCGGAAAACAGATTATAGAGGCTGACAGGAGTAGAAATTGAGAGGCCATGGAGGAGTTGCAGGAGTCCCAGGAGGGTTGATGATGTCTTGGACTGGGGTGGTGGCCCTGGAGAAGGAGAGGAGTCTGGTGATGAATGTGGATGTGGAGTGAGGGTGGGGAGGGGTCAGGGATATCTCTCCCTAGATTATGGTGAAGATTTGGTTTGCTTTTGGGTTACTCACAACCTGGGATATTAGGGAGAGTGGGTTGGCTGATCTTGAACCAGTTAGACTACACTTAGTTTTGTGGTTTGAGTGGAGCATCCAGCTGAAAACTGTAGAAAGGACATGAGTAGGGGAGACCCTAGCCCTGCCTTTGACATGACTGTCGGACCTTAAGCCTGAGAGAAATGAGAACATTGTCCATACTGACCCTGTGTGTGTTCATGGAAGCCTTCTCCATATTTGTTGGTAAATTTAGGAGCTCCACCAGATAATCTTTTGAGACCTAGTTCTTGGTCCTGATCAAATGATCAATTTCTCACATGTGAATAGCATTTCACAGTTGGGAGAGACCTCAAATTCTTAGTCCAGTTTATTTATTTTTAAAAAACTATTTATTTGAGAGAGTGAAGAGAGAGAGAAAAGGAGCAGGGGGAGCACAAAGGAAGAGGGAGAAGCAGACCCCCAGCTGAGCAGGGATCCAGCCATGGGGCTCAATCCTGGGACTCCAGGATTGTGACCTGAGCACAAGGCAGACGCTTAACCAACTGAGCCACCAAGCGCCCCATCTTAGTCCAGTTAAAAAAAAAAAATACTTTCATGTTCCTATATCATTTCCATAACTATTTATTGAGCTCTTACACCATGCTAGACACTAGGAATACAAAGATGGACAGATACGACCATATAGGTTCAGTTAGTCAGTTAAACTGACCTTTGTCGTGGGCACTGTTTCGGCAGCTTCAGATACGAAACAATTACAACTGGTCCTGGACCTCGGAGTTGCATGTCCACAAGCCTTGCCATTGAGGACAACCGAGTGTATTAAAGGATTTGATTTGGGCAGGGGAGATCCTGACCTATCTGTAAGATTAGATAAGAGATGGTATATATGCAGCAAACTTCTGCGGGTATCCTGGCAAGGTCCCAATTCTTGTCCATCCAATCTTCCAATTCTAGGATTGATGGGAGCACATTGTGGGATAGAACACCTTATGAAAGGAAACAGTTATTGTACCTTTGTGGCCAGGCTGTTTAGCAATGTAAATTATAAATCCTCTAAAACACAAAGAAAAATTAGGAAGTGAAGGGAATATTGGCAGAGACAGGCAGTGTCTAAACTTGAATTTCTCCTGAATAGCTAACTCCTTTGTATGTAACTGCCACAGGCTTTGGGAGTGACATCCCTGTGGGCTTGCAAGGCAGCGTGGCTCTGGAGTAGGGAGGGTGGGGAGCACACCACTGATAGGTCCCTAATCCAGCTTTCTGATGGCAGGAGTGAGATGACCTCGATCTTGCGGAGCCCTCAGGCTCTCCAGCTTACTCTGGCCCTGATCAAGCCTGATGCTGTTGCTCACCCCCTGATTCTGGAGGTAAGAAGGAATCCTAAACCTCTTACTGTATGCCCTGGGCACTGCATCTCTTTCTGGTGCCACGGGGCCACTTGTGAAGACTGATAGCACAGTCCTGTGCAAGACACAAAGCTAGGAGCTGTGGACTCTGACCCTAAGAAGACTAAAAATCTACTGGAGAATTGGGGCAGATTAAAAATATAAGGATCCAATACAATAAGAAGAACCAAACCTCAAGACAGTGCATGTATATTAGTTTTCTGTTGCTGTGCAACAAATTACCACAAACTTAGCAGCAAATTGCCATAAACTTAGCAGCTTAAAATAACATTTATTATCTCACAATTCTAGAATTTAGAGGTCCAGTAGGCTCAGGTGGGTTTTTCCTCAGGATCTCAAGGCCCAAGTCAAGGTATCCACTGACCAGGTACTTAGCTAGAGGGTCTGGGGAAGAATCCACTTCCAAATTCATTCAGGTTGTTGGCAGAAATTGGTTCCTATGGTTATAAGACTGAGGTCCCCATGTCCTTGCTGGCCTTCAAGCGAGGACTGCTCTGAGTTTTTAGAGACCACTCACATTACTCATCACATGGCTCACTCCATTTCAAGACAGCAACAGTGTATTTAGTGCTTCTCACGCTTTAAACCTGACTTCTCCTAGCCAGATAAAACTCTGCTTTTTTTTTTTTTTTTTAAGATTTTGTTTATTTATTTGTCAGAGAGAGAGAGAGAGAGAGCAAGCACAGGCAGACAGAGTGGCAGGCAGAAGCAGAGGGAGAAGCAGGCTCCCTGCCGAGCAAGGAGCCCGATGCGGGACTCGATCCCAGGACGCTGGGATCATGACCTGAGCCGAAGGCAGCTGCTTAACCAACTGAGCCACCCAGGCGTCCCAAAACTCTGATTTTAAAAAGCTCGTGATTGGGGCACCTGGGTGGCTCAGTCGTTAAGCGTCTGCCTTCAGCTCAGGTCATGATCCCAGGGTCCTGGGATCGAGCCCCACATCGGGCTCCTTGCTCAACAGGAGGCCTGCTTCTCCCTCTCCCACTCGCCTTGCTTCTGTCCCCTATCTCGCTGTGTCTCTCTCTGTCAAAAATCAATTAAAAAAATCTTTAAAAATAAAAATAAAAAAATAAAAAGCTCATGTGATTAACTGGGCTCCTCTGGATAATCTCTGTTTTGATTAAAGCAAAGTGAACTGATGGGTGCCTGGCTAGCTTAGTCAGTTGAGCATCTGACTCTTGATTTCGGCTTAGGTCATTCTCTCAGAGTCATGGGATCTAGTGTTGGGCTCCACACTCAGCGGGGAATCTTTTCAAGATTCACCTTCTCTCTCTCTCTCTCTCTCTCTCGCCCTCTCCTGTCCCTCCCCAACAATGCTCTCTAAAATAAATAAATAAATCTTAAAAAACAAATAAAGCAAAGTCCACTGACGACAACCTCAGTTACACCTGCAGAATCCCTTTTGCCATGTAATGTTACAATCATATTGCTTCATATTCACAGTCCTGGAGAGAAGGGTGCAGAATCTTGTTGGTACTGGGGGAGGGTCATTGTAGGGTTCTACCTACAATAGTTCTATAAATACTAACTGAGCAGCTCTGCTAGGTAAGCTGACTGTGGTGCAAAGGAAGACCAGAGCAGTCAGAAATGGTGGCATGCACGTGTTGGGACCTGGCCATGCTCAGAGGAAGGGTGGACTTCAGTCAGTGCATGGGGGTGGGGGGCAGATGTTCCACAGAGGGAGATACTGAGGCAGGAACATGTGTGGTGGATCTGGGGGCCACAGGAAGGCTGGGCCGGTGGGACTAGAATTGGAAGAGGTGGAGGGCAAGGAAACTATAGCCTTGAGCACTGGGCTAAAGTAGTTGTACCTCATTCTATGAATAAGGTTCTGACCAGAGTGTGACATGTAAGTTATGGTGCTTTTAATCTGTCAAATGTGATGGTTTGGAGAGAATGGGACAAACTCAAGTCAGGACCACCATCAAGAGATTTTTATGATGGTCTGAAGGGGGGTGGTGTGGGTTTCTGCTCAAGGAGCTGTAGGAACAGAAGGACAGAGATGCACTTCCTGCCCCCTGCACCCGGGGCTCATGCTCTGGCCATGTGACCAAAGGTCTTTACTTCACCTCCACCATCTTTCTCTTCTGACCTGACAATGGGACAGACCCTCATGTCCTGGGCTCTGATGGGTCCTCGTGGTTCTTGTGGTCAGCCCGGGTCTCCTGTTCACTCATATGGTCACTTTGACCAATTTTTGTCTTTGACGTGATGTTTATCCAGGCTGTTCATCAGCAGATTCTGAGCAACAAGTTCCTTATTGTACGAATGAGAGAACTTCTGTGGAGAAAAGAAGAATGCCAGCAGTTTTACAAAGAGCATGAAGGTAGGATCAGCAGTCCTCTGAGTGGGAGGCTTCTCTATCCCAAGACGTACGCAAGAGAGATTTTCACCTGGATGCTCAATGGAAGGCTGTCTCTGACCTACCAGCTGTCAAATTGCAGCCATTCTAAAGTCTTGCTTTATATACAAACTTTTCATGATTATCAATCTTTTAAAATTACTTTCTAGGGGGCACCTGGGTAGCTCAGTCAGTTGAGTGTCTGACTCTTGATTTCGGCTCAGGTCATGACCTCAGGGTCATGGGATCGAGCCCTGCATCAGCTCCCCACTCAGTTCGGAGTCTGCTTGTCCCATCTCCCTTTGCTCCTCCCCCCGGCTTGTGCTCTCTTTCTCTCTCTCATTCTAATTAATTAACTAATTAATTAATATTTTAAAATATATTTTTTAATTATTTTTATTAACATATACTGTATTATTTGCCCCAGGTGTACAGGTCTGTGAATCGTCAGGCTTACACATTTCACAGCACTCACCATAGCACATACCCTCCCCAATGTCCATAACCCAACCACCCTCTCCTTAGAAATATATATTTTTTTTCTAGGAGGGTTCCACTTCCTAGTCCCAACCAGAAATTTGGTTTTATGTCCTGATGATATCAGTAGTTAATAGTGAATGTTTACTCTTTTAGACATTGTCCTAATGCTCATGGTTGCATTGAATTTTCTCTAGAGCCCTGTGACATAGATATCATTAGGTCTCCAGTACATAGATTAGGAACCCGAGTTAGGGAAGTTAATGACCTATCTGAAACCGCATAGGTTGTAAGTGACAGGGCCTGGATTCAGACCCAGATATGTCAGACTCCAAAGTCCTCTAAAAGAGTTTTTTTGGGGGCACCTGGGTGGTGCAGGTGGTTGAGCTCAGGTCATGATTTTAGGGTTGTGGAATCAAGCCCCATGTCAGGCTCTATGCTCAACATGGAGCTCCCCTGCCCCTCCCATCTGCACGCTCTCTCTAAAGTGGATGAATATTTTAAAAGATAAAATAAAATAGCTTTTATTATTCCAAGTAAGGAGGCAGAAGTACTAAAAGTTCTCTTGGGCACCAGTGTCTTGATGAAGTTACTCTCTCTTTGCAGGGCGTTTTTTCTATCAGCGGCTGGTGGAGTTCATGGCCAGGTACTTCTCATTTTCATTTCGGCATATTTATGCACCAAGATTTACCTCCCCCTGCTTCCTAAATTTGTTGAATTCATTTGACACTCTTTAAAGTTGTAATCGGTGTTAAGTGTCTGAAGAAACATGGCTTGGGACCATGTCTAAACCAACACCGACCTGGTAGCCACCTGTCCCATGATGGTTAGTGGTCCAATGGCTATAGAACAGTATTGGTGAATGCTACTTAACAACTCTGCTGACCTCTGTGGCCTTTCGTGTACACCCACAATGGCCTTCTATCACCTGCAACTTGAAGCAGCATGGGTACTTAGCCAGAAAAGCATGGTATCTCTCAGGATGTAGTGTGCCTTTATTCGTGCCCTGCTCACAGTGTGCCCTACTCAGCCACACAGCCAGATTCTTGACATGTGTTCCTCCTGTATACAGCGGGCCAATCCGAGCCTACATCCTGGCCCACAAGGATGCCATCCAGCTCTGGAGGACACTGATGGGACCCACCAGAGTGTTTCGAGCACGTCACGTGGCCCCAGATTCAATTCGTGGAAGTTTCGGCCTCACTGACACCCGCAACACAACCCATGGCTCAGGTGAGTCTGCCTCCTCTATCCTCAGCAACATATAAGGGAGGATGGTTTGCCATTGGTGCTCGGGCCATATGGTGGAATTGAGAGCCAGGTAACCTTGCTGTGAACTTTCCTCCCAATGGCCTTTCTGGCCCCTGTGGCCTGCTCAGCAGATGTGGCCCCAGGACCGAGGGTCAGGCAGAACTAGAGGCTCAGGTTTCTGAATCTGATTATAACTGCCTCTTGCCTCCATCCTGCACTCCCTATGAGAACCCTTTCTCTTTCTTACCTCTCCTTATAGACTCTGTGGTTTCAGCCAGTAGAGAGATTGCAGCCTTCTTCCCTGACTTCAGTGAACAGCGCTGGTATGAGGAAGAGGAGCCCCAGTTGCGCTGTGGGCCCGTGCACTACAGCCCAGAGGGAGGCATCCACTGTGCAGCCGGACCAGGAGGCCCAGGACCAGCCTGACACAAGCCTGTTGGTCTGTGAAGACTGGTGGCATTTCCCAGCCTTTTCTTGGAGACCTCCTGGGACCAGGGAGGCCTGGGAATCATGGCACCATCTCTGCAGGCACCACACCCACCCGAGGACCTAGCTCCTCACTGCCGCCTGCTCTAGGATCTAGCTCTCTATCTACCTCTTTTCAAGAATGTTCATGGGTGATTCAGAGAAATAATGGCTCCTCTCTTCTCTGAGAACTATTTGTCTTTCTCAAGGAGCTTGCCTAACTGACTTGCCTGGAAAATGCAGTGACTCTATAAGCACCGTTTGGCCTATCTTTCTTAATAAAAGTCAGTGTTCTACTAAATCCTGAAGGCTAAGAGCACCGTTCTACGTGCTTTCTCTCTCTCCTTAAGTGAAGTAATTAAACCTGTCCCAGGGATGCCTGGGTCACTCAGTTGGTTAAGCATCTGACTCTTGATTTTGGCTCAGGTCATGATTAGGTCATGGGGTCAAGCCCCACGTTGAGCTCCATGCTCAGCACAGAGTCTGCTTGAGATTCTCTCTCTCTTTCTTGCTCTGCCCCTCCCCCTGCTCTCTCTCTAAAATAAATTTTAAAGAACAACAACAACAAAACTGTCCCAAACCCAGTACCTGGTCTATGCTAAATGGAGAGAATTGTGCAGAAATCTCCCAGAAGGTTCACACACAGTGTGCATCTTGTCTAGTGCATGAAAGCACCCGGTGACAGAGCTGAGTGTGGGCCCAAATCCATGCTGTGCACCTGGCATAAGTCTGCCTCCTAGGGGAGGGGGCACCTTTTATTTGAACAAAGGTGTGTCTACCCAGTAGAGGCATGTTTCTATGACTCACTTTTTTTTTTTCTGATTGCACAAAACCACTAAAGTCAGCCACATCTGTGTTGGAGATGAGGATAACAGCGACCTATTGCTGCATTACAAATCACCTCACAATCTAGTGGCTTAGAACCATGGTTTATCTTTATGTGTCTCTGGATTGGCTGGGTGATTCAGCTGGTCTCACTGGGATTCACTCATGTAGCTGCAGGTAGGTCAAACATGGTTTTTTGTTTTTTTTTTAAGATTTTATTTATTTATTTGACAGAGATCACAGTAGACAGAGAGTCAGGCAGAGAGAGGGAGGGAAGCCGGCTCCCTGCCAAGCAGAGAGCCTGATGCGGGACTCGATCCCAGGACCCTGAGATCATGACCCGAGCCAAAGGCAGCGGCCCAACCCACTGAGCCACCCAGGCACCCTCAAAAATGGTTTTTTATCCTGAGCTGCTTCATAGCATGATTGTTTCAGGGTTCCAGGAGGACAGAGCCCCATTCACAAGCTTATCAAGCTTCTGTTTATATCATGTTTGCTAATATCCCATTGGCCAAGGCAAGTCCCGTGGCCAAGCCCAGCATCCATGTGGGAAGAGACTAGGTAAGGTCATGGGTACTGGGAGGTGTGAATCACTGGGGAGCCATTACTAGGGCAATCTACCATACAGGGTGTAGTGAGGAACCTTGAATTTATATGGAATTTGTGAAAACAAGTATTTGCACAAGTTAACGAAGGAGATGAAGAAATAGCCTGAGAAGGAAGGAAAAAACCAAGGATATGTGCATCAGGAAAGTCAAGAGGAGAGAGTGTTTCTGGAGAAAGAAGCAATGTGGAATATTATCGAGAAGTCCAGAATGATGAAGCCTTTAAAATAACCTCTAATGTGGCAGCATGGAGGTCACTGTGACCTTGGTAAGAACAATACCTCTGTGCCAACAGGGGGCTACCTTGCATGGAAGATAATGGGCTAAAGCATTTATAGTGTCATGCTACCCTGGGGTTAGAGTGAGATGTCTGGGAGTCAGAGAATCTTCTCACATCTGAATCTATAAATGTATCTGCATGTGCTCCCCTCTTCTCTTCCTGTTACAACATAGGAAATGTCCTGCTTTCCATTAAGCCAGTCCTTCTGTGTGCTCTGAATCCCACCCAGCTCTTTCGGTTTTCTTCTCTAATGCACTTTCACCTCTCTCTGCTGAGCCCCTTTGAATTCAAACATGTTTGAAAACATGTTTGGGTAATTCGGCATGGAGCCTACTTAAAATTTTTAAAAAATTAAAAATAAATAAAAGCAAACCTTTCTTAATACGTCATCTCCTTCATGCCACTGTCCCATATTTCTGCTCACCTTTATAGCAAAACTCTGAACAGAGTAACTTAGAACAGCAATGACCAGTGACTTTCAGTCTAGACAAAATGTAGATGTATGTAGACCCATTTACCTCTGCTCCCCGCTGCTGAGTACAACTGTAAACCTGAAAATCATGTAAGAAACATGCAAGGAGAACTCTGAAAAGTTCCCCAAAGAAGAACTGGTTTGAGACTTCCAGACTAGAGGAACAACACAGCAGCAGGGCATCTTGGGTCTCCCTACACAACAACACAAGGTGATCCAGACTAGGAATTTCCCAGACTGTAACCTGGAAACATGACAGACCCATCTGGCTTATTCTTTCCCATGACTAAACAGACTAAACAGGAAGTCCAGCTTAAAACACCAAGCAAACTGACAAAAGAGAATTGATCAGGAGTGCCAGCTATCAGTAACCAGCCAGGGGAAGTACTCTCTTTCCTAGCCAGGTTTGAGGCTACCCTCCCTCATGGAAAAATACTAACGTGGTGAGGTAGCACCCACAAGAGAGACCAAAACAAATGCCCTAAGTCCAAGTTCTGTGACCAAAGTTAGACCTCTAAGTCAAAGTCAAAGGTAAGTTCCAAGAGCCAAGTCATCCTATGTCTGAGTTTAATGTCCAGGACAAGTTGAGTTCCAAACTAAGGTTCCAGTCTAAGACCCAGGTCCCCCAGTCTAGGTCTAGGATTCTGGTTCAGATCAACATTCCAGGTCTAAGGTCATGTCCTGGTGTAGGTCTGATTTCTAGGTTCGAGGTCTTGACATGAGGTCAAAGTCTCAGGTTAGAGGTTGAAGTTCAAGTAACAGTTCCAAAAAACCAAGTCTGAGGACAGGTCCAACATCATGGGTAGAGTTCCACAGTTGAGATTTGATGTTCAAGTCCAAGGTCCCAAGTCTATGTCCAAGGACCAGTTTGAGATCTAAAGGCCAAGTCCAAAATCCAGGCCCAAGTCTGAGGTTCCACGTTCAAAGTCCAGGTCCAGAGTTTGAGGACAAGGTCCTTAAGTCTACAATATATCAGGTCAAAGTCTGGGTCCAAAATCCATGTTCATTTCCAAAGCCCAGGTCCAGCATAAGTATCCAGGATCAAATGCAGACACACACCCTACATTCAGGTCCCAAGGGCAGACCTAAGTTTAAAATGTTCAGTGTTCAAGTCTGAGGTCCAAGATACAATCCTAATATTAAAGTCCATGTCCAAGGACCAGGTTTAATATCAGGACTAATTTACAGACCAATTCCACATCCAACACCTACAGCAAGGTTCAGGAGCAGGTCAGTGTGCAGTTCCACAGAGTATATCTAAGATCCAGATCCAAGTCTAGGTCCATGGTCCAGGTCCAACATCTATGTTCATATTTGAGGCTCAGGTCCAATGTTGGTGTTTAATGTCAAACCTAAGTCCAGGTTCACAGTCCAGATTAAAGGCCCCATGTTCAAGGTTGAGGTACACTCAAACACTTCCAAAGTCCAGGTCAGGTCAAGACCCAAAGTCTGGATCCAAAGTCAGATCCAATGTTGAGATTCAAGGACCAGGTCCAAGGTCCAATTCTAGGTACACTTCCCAGGTCTAAGCTGAGTCCAAGATCTAGATTAAATCCATGTCTAAAGTCCAGGTTGAATATCTAGTACTAGGTTGAGTTCTAGCTCCGAGATCCAAATCCAAGTTCTAGTCCCAAGGTCATGTATGATCCATTCTGAATTATAGGGCCAGGGTCCAGAAATAAGGTTCGTCTTTAAGGTCTGATATTCACATTTGAGATCCAAATCCAGGCAGAAGCCTAAATCTAAGAACTACATCCAGGTCTGAGATACAAGATGAAAGTCAATTTCATTGCCAAAACTCACTGGTAAGATTCAAAATCTTGTTCATATGTGCAAGTCCAGGCCAAAGATCCAACCAAATGTAGGCACCCATTTTTAAGGTAAGGTCTATTGTCCAAGAAAAAGCAAGATTTGAGATCCAGGGTCACCTGGGTGGCTCAGTTGGTTGAGTGTCTGACTCTTGATTTTGGCTCAGGTCATGGTCTCAGGGTCTTGGGATGGGGCCCTGCATCCAGCTCTGCACTCACCATGAAGTCTGCTTGTCCTCCATTTGCTCCTCCCCTGCTCTCTTTCTCTCTCTGTCTGTCTCTCTCTCTCAAACAAATAAAAAGAATCTTAAACAAAACAAAACTTCAGCTATTCCTCCCTGGGCAGGAACCTCTGTGAACCCCAACTGTCCTTGGAGTGTTTGCCTCCTTTCCCCATCCCTTCTTCCACTCACAATCCTTTATTCTGAAGATCTCACAAAACCGTGAGCCTGTCATTGTAGAGATTGGGCCATTAGAGACCTGATTTCAATACCTTTTCAAGAAAGGAAGGGGTGCCTGGGTGGCTCAGTCAATCAAGTGTCCAACTTTTGATCTCAGCTCAGGTCATGATCTCAGGATTCTGAGATCTGGTGTGTCAGGCTCCATGCTTAGCAGGGAGTCTGTTTCTCTCCCTCTGCCTCTCTCCCTCCTCCTCCACCCCAACCTTCCCCACCCACTCACATGCATGCCTACGAGCTCTCTCTCCCTCAAAACAAACAAACAAAAAAACAAAACTAAAAAAAAAAGGGGGGGGGCAGACCCAGGAGGGAATGATTCCTGACTGGAAGGAACCCAAAGCTATCTGGCCTGGACATTGGTCACCTCTGCATCTCTTCCTGTGATTCCTGGATCTGACAGTGGTCTCACTATGCCAGGCCTCTGTGGTGTCTCTACAATGTCTGTGTGGATTTTAATAGAAAACAAACATTTTTTCTTCCCTTTATGTTGGCCAAGAGGGGCCATTTGATCCCTGGGGAGGTAACACAGGCAAGAATGGCTCTGGTTCAAAGAGCTTTAGCAGCATAGTGAAGACAGATATGAGTGTGCGGCTGAAAGGCTGGGCACAGATATCGGGGGCGCTCTAGAGGCACCATGCTTAAAAGCCCCGAAACCTGGTATTGTCAGGCTGATGGTGGACATTGCAAGAAATCTTACACCTGCCAGGGGAGGGCCAAAGCAGCACGATTATGAAGTCTAAGTCCTGAGACTGAAGACCTTTTGGGGTGTGGCTAAACGGACCTGGGTTTGGGATTGGAGGGGTAGCAGGAAGACACGGCTGAGGAGTCCCGCAGACTACGGGCCAGAGACTGA